TATTTAAAATAAATCAATCCATATGTTAAAATAAATCAATCCATACTAATAAATTATTTAAAATAAATCAATCCATACAACTACAATAATAAATCAATCCATATTTTAAAATAAATCAATCCATACTAATAAATTATTTAAAATAAATCAATCCATATTTTATAATAAATTATTTTAAAATAAATTATTTTATAATAAATTATTTTATAATAAATTATTTTAAAATAAATAACCTTATTAAATTATTTAAAATTATTTTAATAAATAATCATATTTTATAATTGTTCTTGAAGAGGTTTGAAGACCTTTGAAGACATAAAACCATGTCTGCATCAAGAAGAGCTCGTACAGATGTTAGAAGAGCTTTTGTCTTCTAAAAAACAAACGGTATGCGAAGCCTAATGTCTACACGTGAATTACGCGGCGCAGACATAAGAGGTTTGAAGAGGTGGAACAGTTAAAACAAACAAGGGCAAAGTTTGAAACATCCTTAATTTTTTTAATCTTTGATTTGATAAAAAATCAAAGCAAATTTTTATGTCCAAATTTGACCGGTCTTTGGGGTATGCAATAAAACTTTGGATAAACTACGCATTTAGTATTTAAACCACCAATTTTGATTCGTTTTAGTTTCTAAATTTTTTATTTTTTCAAAATAATATCCGACGTTTAATTTTCATTTCATTTTAGTACACCCAAGTTAAAAATTTAACGTTTTTAGTACCTAAACTATCAGTTTTGGCCCGTCTTAGTACCTAAACTTTCAATTTTTTCAAACTTATCGTTAAATTTTGAACGAGGTATTAAAATGAAACAAAAGCTAAAATTTTTAACAGCAAAATACTAAAATAAAACAAAAATTAAGCTTTAGGTATGATTTTGAAAAAAATTAAAAGTTTAGATACTAAAACGGACTAAAACTAATAATTTATGTACTAAACGATAAATTACCCTAAAAGATTTGCACAAATACATTCATGTATTGAATTATATGATCAAATACAATAAAGTCGGTCCACATTGATCATCTGTCACTATAACTTCATTTTACTTGTTGCCTTTGCCCCGACATTAGTAACTTTCAAAGTTTGAATAATAGTGAATCATATGATAGAATTATTAAGTTAATTTAGTCAGTGTCGGTCCAATTCCAAGTCAATGAATCTTATAAACCTTTTAAAAAAAACACATCAACAACAAATTGTTCCTTCAAACAAGACAATAATTAAATAATAATATTTGTATTTACATTTCTAGATTTAATTTTGAACATGCAAAACTTTGATTTATTACATACTATTAGGGACGTGCATGGGTCGGTTCGGGTCGAGTTTTCGGTAACCTGATCCGACCTGAAAATATATATCATTTATTCGAAACCTAACACGAGTTTAGGGGTGATTTCACCCGATATACGATTCGATTTTTTGAGATAAAATCTGAACTCGATTCGACCCGATCTAAAATAAATATATTTATAAAAATATTATATTTTATTCAATAAAAATAGGGATCTAACTGAAAAAATAATATATAGAGGGTTATTATTACAATTATCCCTAAACATATAAGATAAATTTATATTAATTTTTGGGTTGAGTATTTTTACCCTAAAACCGAATTCGACCTAATCAAATCCATTTTTAAAAAAAAAATCAGATATGATCAAATCGGGTCAAATCAGAACATATCGAATTCGAGTCTCATGTCCTAGAACCACTTTCCTTGTCCTAAACCTTATATATATATATATATATATATATATATATATATATATATATATATATATATATATATATATATATATATATATACATACTTTCTAGACGAGGCCTTGAATTCATTTTGAAAACGTGTATGAATTTCCATTTAAATAAGTCAATTGTAGCAAATGTACTCATATTATCATCTAGATTTTCTAATATAACTATTGGTATCTAATCATTAATTGATTAATTTGGATCGAGTATTGTGAATATCCCATTGTTGAACTTAAAAATGATTTTATTTATTTATTTATTTTATATCGAGTGAAGTTACAAATTAATAAATCATGCCATTACAAAATAGGTAAACTATGCTAATAGTCCCCTATGTTTAGGGTCTGACCGACTTTAGTCACCAATTTAAAAATTAAGGGGAAATGATCCCCAACGTTATCGATCCGTTCGAGTTTAGTCCCTCATCCTCTAATTTTCATTAACCCCATTTTGTTTAAGTCCGTAACATGACTGAGAGACTAAAATCGAACTGGAGTTAAGGCTAAGAGACTAACATTGAACGGATCGATAATGTTAGGGACTAAAATCGAACATATCGATAACGTTAGGGATCATATCCTATTAATTTTTAAATTGATGATCAAAATCGATCAGACCGAAAATATAGGGGACTATCTGCATAGTTTACCCTTAAAAAATATTAAAAAAAACACATGATAATTTTTTAAATCCATTAACGAATTTAAAAATAGAATTATTTATTCCTTTATACAGAGTTAAGTTATAAATTGTGAAAATAATAATATCATTCATAAAACGTGTGAAAAATACTACACTTTTCTAATTCGGTTACTAAACTTAATTTTTTTTCCCGAATTAAGTTATAAATTAGGAAACGAGTTAAATCATTCAAGACATATAAAACAAGTAGTAATATTATTTTAAAGGGTAAAGTACATAGATGGTCCCCCAACTATAGGGCATTGCTCTGTAAAGTCCTATGACTATTAAAAGTTATACAATGGTCACTCGATTATTTAAATGTTCTAAACTCGTCTATTTTTGTTAAAAATCGGTGGTCTTCTAAGTTGGACGTTAATATGTTGGTTGAGATATGATAAAATTCGATCCTGAAACTATTTGAGTGTTTTTTTTTTGTGTATTGACACTTTGTTTACATTATGTCGATAAACTAATGCTTGAAATATTATGCCTTAAGCCAGTGGTTGAAAGCAACGACGGTGTCATAGACATAATTTAAATATGATTTTATCATGTCATAATCAACAAGTTAAAGTCCAACTCAGACGACTTTCAAGTTTTAATAGAAAAAGACAAGTTTGAAACATATAAGTAGTTAAGTGACAATTTTTGTAAATTTTAATAGCCAGAGACTCAACAAAAATAACACTCTATAGTTAGAGAATCATTTTATAACATTAAATAGTCGAAGACAATAAAACAACGTCTTATAGTAAAGGGTGATTTGTATATTTTACCATATTTTAAACTTATTAATAAATTTAAGGGTAAACTACGCATTTAGTACCTAAACTATCAATTTTGGTTCATTTTAGTACCTAAACTTTAAATTTTTCAAAATCATACCAAATGTTTAGTTTTAATTTCATTTTAGTACCTCATCGTTAAAAACTTAACACGTTTAGTACCTAAACTACAAGTTTTGGTTCGTTTTAGTAGGGTTATTCACTATTCAATTTTAACCGAATACAAACCAAACCAAATTAGTTTGGTTAATTCGGTCGGCCACCGAATTAGTTCAGTCGGGGAACAATTAATACTTTTTTCAATATTTGGTTTACGGTTAATTTGGTTCGAAATTGGTTAATTAACCAATATTATTAAATATTATATATATTATATCTATATTAAATACATATTTTAAGCTCGAACCCATTAAGAATTAATACCTAATTATTTTTAACCACACTAGACTCATTAATTTATCAATACCTAATTAAATTTTAACTGAAATAAAAAAATATACATCTATTATATTTAAATTAATCTAATTATAAAAATTTATAAAAAAAACGGTTAACCGACCGAAATAACCGAACTTTGTTCGGTTTGGTTAATATTTTAAAAAAAGTTTGGTTCGATTAATGGTTTAAAAAAATCGGTTAATTTGATTAATGGTAATTCGGTTCAGTTGGTGGCCGAATTAACCGTTTGAACACCTCCTATATTTTAGTACCTAAACTTCTGATTTTTTCAAAACTTAAAGTTAAATTTTGAACGGGTACTAAAATGAAACAAAAACTAAAGTTTTTAATGTGGATACTAAAAAATAAAACAAAAACTAAGTCATCTTTCAAATTACGGGCCTTTCCTTATAAATCCACCGCCTTCTGCTGCTAATGGTGATAATAAAGTGAATCCTTGGTGTTTCAATCAAATGCTCGGGCAACAGTGGTTGGTCCCTGTCATGTCCCCCTCCGAAGAACTGATATACAAGCCCTATCCTGGACCTGGATTAACGGGATCTGTTTGTGGAGGCTGTGGACCGTATGGACAAACTCCAATGATTGGCAACTTTATGGCTTCAGCTTACGGTGGTCCGGCTCCTCCTCATCAAGGACATGGGATTCTCCCCGGTGCTCCTTTATCCGGTCACTTGTACTTTACTCTATATGGGATGCCAGTCATGAACCCGGCGCTCTCAGGTTCTGCTATGGAACAAATGAACCAATTACCGGTAAATGATCTTGTGTGCTGCTTGATGATCGTTAACCTTTTCTCCACATGTATTGTGGTGTTTATTCATATGCATGTTTAAAAGATTACAAGTCAATGTAATATGGATTTTGTTCTTTCTTCATTCTATGAGAGCGATAAGCTTCTGGGTGCTGCTTGACGATTACGAATAGAATAAACTAGATAGAGAGAATCGTCTTTACCTCTGTAGTATTCGATCCAGATTAATCGATTAATAAATCAGATATATTATACAAAAAAAAAAATACAAATACAATTTAAAAAGCAATTTGAATTTAAAACCTTTAAGAAAAATAATATCTTTTTATCACTTAAACACAAGATTTTATAATTCCATATAATATTATTTATAATATAATATTTTAGTATATAATATTATTAACATAAAATTTTATATAGATCTATGAGTTTAACCATCTATTTATGTTGATCTAATAATTTTAAAAAATATAAATCTATTTCTAAATTCTAAATTCATTTAATCTCAATTTATTGATTTATTAAGATTAAATTTGATGTCTACCAAAAGTAAAAGATAAAGATTTGGGCTAATTTTTACTTTTTTTTTTGTTTCCATTTTTTCACCTCGATGATGAAAAAGGGTCTTCATTTACACCACTTCGAATCCTTTCCCCACCTCCTACAAAAAATCACCGACTTACCTTCGACGTTTCTTCGGACAATATTCGAACTCGACTCGCCTTTTTATTCCGAATCCGATTCCATGTTAGTATTTCCCATTGCCTTCAATCCTCTTGGTCTCTGCAAACATTCCGAAAACACTAAAAAATCGAGTTCGAAAAAAATGATTACTTTTGTTAAAATCACGAGTGTCGGCCGATAAAATTTTATATTACATGATTCGAATTTTTAGATTAATAGACCGGATACTAATTACGTACCTTCTTTGAGATCTTCTTCTCCTGACCTCGTATCGATCAAGGGTTAGATCACATAGCCACGCCCCGGACTTACCAACTGTACAAAAAGAAAATCTACAATTAGAATTTCAGTGTTCGATCTATTAACCGACCAATCGGATAAGATATTACCTAATTATACCATGATCTAATAACGTTGAAAAGACAAAGGGAATTTCGGTTGGTGCTTCGTGTTTTTTATGCATCACAAAGTCGTCCACCCTGGCAAGTCAAATTATTCAACCGTGACAAAAGTAAACCCTACAATAACAGTGTTCTTACATAAATGCCCTCCGGACAACGATGGGTTCCGGACAATTCGAACCGGTTCGAAGGTTCAAGCCTTCCTAAATAAGAAAACCATCATCTAACCGTTTTTAATTTTATTTTATTACTGAATAAATTACGCATTTAATACCTAAACTATCAATTTAAATACCTAAACTTCTAATTTTTTCAAATTAATCTAACGTTTAATTTTTATTTCATTTAATACCCACCCTTAAAAATTTACTGCGTTTAATACCTAAACTATCAGTTTGATTCATTTTATTACATAAACTTTGAATCTTTGCAAATCCTAACGTTAAATTTTGATCGATGCTGATAAAATGAAACAAAAATTAACTTTAAATATGATTAAATAAAATGAAAGTTCAATACTAAAACGGATCAAAATTAATAGTTTAAGTATAAATACGTAATTTATCATTTATTTTATTATTTTATATATCTATATGGTCGGTTTGTATTGCGGAAAACATATTATGGGTCACACCCTCACAGAGTCGCAGCCTTTGCGGTCAGATTCTCATCCATTCATTGACTGACACGTACACAACTATGGTTCACTCACTGTCACATTACCCACTCTAAAAAGAGTAATTCTGTCTAACAACAGCTTAATATACAGACAAAAAAAAATATTATCGAAAATGTTATTAATTTTTTAATATTTCTAATAAAATATTACTTAAAATATTATTTTTACAAGAAATATTAATTTTACTATCTAATTTATGTTAGAAAAAACGATAAAAATAATAATATTTTAAGTAGCACTTAATATTAACATTTTCAATAAAAAAATAATATTTTAGATAATAATTTACCAAAAATATTAAAAAATTAATAACATTTAGCGTATTTCTTTAATTATATATTAGACTGCTGTCCAGTAAATATCCCCCACTCTAAAAGGGTAAGGATAGGAAAGTGGAGAAGTCATTATTTGACGTAAAATTCACGTGTAGTTAGTTCTCTACCTCATCTATATGACTATTTCCCCAATCCAAATAGTAAAATTAATTTCAATTTTCAAATCAAATTCTGCTCTAATCTAATGTCTAATACTCAATTCAAGGAGAAGAGTAAGGGGCTTACGTTGAGCGTCCGTTGAATAAATTTCGCTCGTTTTTTGGGTCTCTGTGGCAGCTTAGATCCTTTGATGGCCATGAAATCCTCTTCCTTCTCTTTATTCGTCAAAGCAATCACGAATTTCGGCGGCCAAACGATGGGCGGAGCCGCCGCAGCTGTCGCCTCGCCGCTTCCCGAAGAGGAGCCTCCCTTTTTGCTATCGTGAGCCATGTCAGAATACGCCGCTGATTTGTTGTGGCTGCTGCTACGGTGGTGGTGGTTATTGTTATTGTGGTTACCGCCCACTCTCTTATCGTGCGCACCCCTATCCGGTGAAGCGAATCCCCTTACAGCTCCGCTGCTTTGGCTTCTCATAGCACCGGAATTCTCAGAGTTCCTGGGAAAAAAATATTAACAAAACAAATTCACACGCAAGAAAAATCAAAGATAAAAATAAGTAGGGTAAAAAAATAAGATTAAAAATATGATTCGCGGTAAGTTTTGGAAAGTAAATAAAAAGAGGGGCTAAAGTTGTAAATTTTGAATTTACAAATATAACCTCGGGAGTGAGCTAGAATTCTTAAATGTCGAGACTTTGAGATTTTGGGCGTTAAATAAGGGAGTTGTTAAAGTTTTGGAGAGAAGAGAGAAAAGAGTGGTTTTCTGGCCGTTTGATTAAAGCCATTTTTTTGGCTTTACGGTGGATTAAGGTTACGTGTTGGTATTAGAAAGTGGGACCAGATTCCCACATCTAATCTCCGATCGGACGGCTGAGGTAGGTTGGTGTTGTGGACATCTGGTCCAAGGACCACGGATGACAGAGCTAGGATCAGGTGGTGCAAGGTGCTGAGACATAAAACAAACCAACAAATTATCAAGTGTTTAGTGTGAAGTGCCTCAACCAGGATAAGCAACATCAATACCAAACATTAGTAGCACCAATATCAACCAAAAACAATATGAACCCTAAACACACTAGCATCAAAGGAACAAAAAACACAAAATTCGGGGGGAAATCACAAATGATCTAATTTATCGTAGTATATACGACAAATTAAGACCACTTTAAAAGGAAAAAAAAAGACTAATCTCGATTAAAACCATTTGCCATAAGTAAAAAACTCGATCAATATATCAATACTAATCCTAATCGAAGCTAGAACCATCTTCTTCTTGTTTACCATGTCACTTTGCTAAATGATTCACTATATTCTCTCTAAACTGTATCAAAAATAACAAGAACCCTAAACACAAAACCCACCTGACCATTGGAGAGTGCACAAAACTAACTCAGCCCCGAATACACATCAATCATACGGTGTTACTTTTATAGAGAAAGAGACACATTAAATGCATTCACCAACTAGTCCACATACCCATATGAAAATATAAAAATAGTTGATCATATTTCATATGTAATGGGGTAAGGGGAAATAGGGTAATAGATTATCCCAACGCCAGGTTAAGAGCAACTCCCGTAGAAGATCTCTGTTATTAATTACCTTCAGTGAGACTCGATCCCACAACCACAAAATTAAGAGCATTGTGTTCTACCTTTGAAAATATCTGATCCAAATTTGTGTAGGTTCTAGGAGCGTGTCAATGGCAACCAAGTGTGAAAGCTTATCCATTATAGGAACAAAGCTCTCCACTACGCGGGGGGGGGGGGGTAGCAACCTTTGATCAGATCCAGCTACTTATGCCCTCAAAAACATTGAGAATCTTTCTAGCAAGATCAGGAAAGGCAACAGAGCCGAGAACCGGAATGAAAGCGGAGATCGCTTTATCAACTCTGCACAAATGGCATCCGTAAATATTCATAACCTCTTCACACTTTTTACGGACACTTCTTTTATTAACAAATTCAATATTAGAATAGGGTAAACTGCACATTTAGTACCTAAATTATTTATTTAAATTCATTTTAATACTGAAACTTTAATTATTTTTTCAAAATTAAACTTAATTTAATTTTTATTTCATTTTAATACACATTAAAAACTTAAGTTTAAAAAAAAATAAAAGTTTCGATACTAAAACATATCAAAATTGATAGTTTAAGTACTAAAAACATTAATTTTTAAAAGGGTACTAAAACAAAAAAAAAACTAAACATGGAGTATAATTTTAAAAAATTAAAAATATAAATACTAAAACAAACCAAAATCAATAGTTGAGGTATTAAACATGTAATTTACCCTATATAATATATATTAATCATACTTTTGTTATAAGAGTATCCTTCTCGGTCTAATTTTTCCGATGATGACATCTAAAGAATTAATTGAATTATATGTTATCAAATTATGACTATTCAAAATAAATCTTTAAAATTTTAAATATTTTAATTTAACCCTCAAATTGTAACTCTTATTTTAAATAAGTATTCAAATTTTTGAAAATTTTAATTTTATTCTTGAACTATGAAAATCATTCTAAATTGGTATCCAAACTTTTAAATTTTCAGTTTCATCCCCAAATTTATTCAAATATATAATTAATTTCAATTATATTTTAACCTAAAATTTATTTTTTTTCAAACATATAATAATATAATTTCATCTAATAATTTTATTAATACATGATGAGGGGGCGAAATTGAAATATTTAAAAATTTATGGACTAATTTAAAATGATCATAATTTGAAAATGAAATTAAAATGTCTAGAAATATATAAATTAATTTAAAATAAAAAATCATAATTTGGGATTAAAATTAAAATATTAAAAAGTTAGAGACCAATTTAAAATAAAATCATAATTTAACAACATACGATTAAATTAACTCGGATCTAAATCTTTAAAGTACTTTATCTCCCCAACTGGAACAAAACACCTAAAGCAAAAAACAAGTGGCACAAGAAAACCAGACATCAAAAACGAACCAAAACCATCAGGTAGTAGTACCCCATCAGAAGGGAGCGTATAATACACGCGCCCAAGAGAAGCATAAAATCGTAAAATGAAACAGTACCTGAGAACGCGCTGAGGTGGCGGAGCTTGAGGGGAAGGGGGCCGTTGACGGAGGTTAAAATACCCGTTCCCGTGATTATTATTGCTCGGCTGATTCGAAGAGTCCTTGTCAGCCCTCACGACTCGGCGGTCGACTCGAACCGTGGTTCGATTGACCGGTCCGGACTGATCGTCTTTGACCTGGATCTTCATACACCGCAGGCGTTTCCGATTTCCCCATTGCAAAACGAAATCAGAAGAAGATGCCGTTTGCTTGGCCGGATCCGAGCTGGATCTTAACAGTCCGCCGTCGACTCCGGTTCCGGCGGTTCTATCTCTGCAGTAGTTGGTGCTATTGCCGATACCATTGTTATTGTTGCTTCTTAACGAGTCCTTCTCCATTCTTTTGTGCACACCTGTCCCATCATGAGAGCAATAAATTGAGAATTTTAATTCTGGAAAAAGCTATTGATTCAGTTCAGAAATAAAGTGAAAGTGCCGATAAGGATAAGAAAAGGATGAGATTAGGAGAATTGGATGTAACTTCTGTAAAATTTTCACGCAATTTGCCTCTGATTAGCACTAGAATATGTGCATCGGACGGCTAGGAATTTTCAAGGAAAAAATTCCGGGAAAATAAAAGAAAGCAGCCAAACACTTGTGAAAAGTTGAAGATTAGTTAAGTATACGAAGAGAGATGGAAGAAACAAAGAAAGTGAAGCTGTCTTGGTCGTAGTTCTTATTACCTGAGAAAATCACAGATTCAACCTTCTTTAAACTATTGAACAGAAACCAAAACGCTTCTTTGCAAGTTCTTTTCGGTTTTGAGTTTCTCTAGGTTTCTTGGTAACCAAACGGGAAATTATTGGCTACGCGGAAACGAGATGAGAAAAGAACTGGAAAAAAAATCAACAGAATCGGGAAGACGTCACAACAAAAGAAAGAAAAACCTTTCTCATGGGAGAATTAAGGAAGCGAAAATTAGAACCAAGCAAAGATTTCAATGAAGAGGAAAAAAACCTTAGCGGAACAGATCAAATTCTTCTTAAAATAGTTTGGAAATTTTCATTGATGGATATGAAGAGAGAAAAAAATTGTGATTCAAACTCTGAGAAAACGAAAACAAATGAACTTCCAAAGTGAAATTAAAATCTGAGAATGTAACATTCTCAGGAAAAATCAACTCCGTCAAACAAATCTTCGGTTTGGATCAAATCCAAGCTTGAGAAAATCAATTTGCAGAACACTGAGCGTTCTGGAAAAAGGAAGAGGCTGAGGAGACAAAAACGACAACTCTTTTAAACAAAAAGCTTGGCGAATCAACTGCGACTCAATTATCTGAGGTGGATTTAGAACCGGTATTCAGATAGTCAGATTCTGATCTTATCTAGTACCTGGAAATCACTCAGCCTTAGCCGTTACAACTTTGCTTCAGTCTTAAGGGTATAAACACAAGGTTACTTTAGATTTCAAAGAATAATGGCATTTGTAGCCTATTCTCCAGACTCATTCTGATCCTTTGAATATGTTAACAATTGATCTGCCTATCCGCAGATGAATTCAGTCCAAAATTTCTCCAAAATCAGCTCAGTTATCTTCCAAATGTATCTGTCAAACAAAACAGAAGAAGAAAATTATTTTCAAAGAAGAACATGGCGATAGTTCGAAATCTCATCAACTTAGTTCACGGTCTTCTTTTTCCTTACAGATTCTCAGAAACTTCAACGAAATAAAAGAAATCTTCACTATTGGTTATCAGAACCAGCAAGAACTTTCTCCAATCTCTTCAATTGTATCTGCAGAAAAAGGCATTAAAAAACGAAATTCGTTGTTAACGGAGTTATCCATTGAATATAGACGAACGAGAATTCGTCAGAATAAATCAAAACAGAAACAATCTCTGCTCTCAAATTAATACACACCTCTCAACAATTCCTCAATTCCTCTCCCCTCTTTGTTTCGCTCGCTCGTTTAGAAATTAGATCCTCAACACTAATTTATATAAATTAACATCAGTTTTAAGGGGTTTTTTTTCTCGGGAATTTTCTGTTTGGTTCACGAGAAAGAAAAGAAAGTAGAAGCAGATCAGCAAAGAAGAAGGAAAATGAAATTAAAGCGCTCCTCCCTTCTGAATACCAATTTTATACCTCTTTTCACCCTCCGTCACACCACAAAAGCTTTCTTCATCGAGAAATCCAAACCGTTCATAATTAATCCAACGGCTCTTATTGAATACCCTAATTCGAACCGCTAACTCCGTCTATCTTACCATTCCCGTTACGGGATTTTCTTACGTCAAATAAAAAAAGCAAAACCAAAGGTAGAAAAAGTAGTAATGGAGGATCAATCCAACGTTGGTCCTCCGCCGCTTGGTTCTCAACACACACTGATCCATCTTCCACCTAGTATCTATCTTCTTCACCCACGTTTTGTCCGCTGCCACAGATGAGCGACTAGATTTCCCAATCTGGGAGTAAATCGATACATGCAAGTATGAAAAGAAGCTCTTTCATCTTTGTATCCCTTATCCAAGTGTTGATTCAGAATAATTGGTTGTCCGGATTGTAGTTTATTCATGACTGTTCGAGAATGATTCTATGAAAATCCATGTCTGCTGCAAATTTTACAGCGTGTTTCACCGCCAACGCCTCAGCCATGAACGATGAGTTTTCGTTCTTATTAGATTTCCGATGAGCACCCAAAATAAAACCCCCTTTATCTCTAATTATTATTCTTGACTGCTTCTCTTTGGTTGGTCAAATCGAGCGTCGAAATTCACCTTTACTTCGGATGTGAGGGCGGTTTCCAACGAACAACTCTCTGAGATTGTGGCTTGAAGACGATTTGCTTTGGAGTAGTTTGCGCATTGAGCTCGAATAGGGTAAATAACTACTCGTTTCTAGTTAAAAACTTGCATTGGCACTCACAAACCCATACGGTTTTCAACACCTCTCAGGATTTTAATAGTTTTCTCAAGATTCTAATATGATTAAAAAATAATATTATGTTAGATTTTAAATATATATATACTTACCGAGTGATCTTAGTCATGACGGATTTAAAAATATTCTAAAGCGTGTGCTCACATATATTAATCATTAAAACTTTTTGTAATAAGATGAGCACAAATATAATTTCAGGGTCGAAAAAATAGTAAAATGGACAACTAATGTAAATAAATTGAATTTCAAGGTAGACACGTGTCCACCCTAATCATGCTTTACATGCGCCACTGATCTTAATGATGAAAAAAATATTATTCTCTCTAAAAAATCTAAATTCGAGCAATTGTGTCATAAAATGTGTGCGATGCCAAAGAAATTGAATAATTTCAAACACACGTACACACAAAGATGTTCAAAACTCGAGTCGATTGTGGTGTATAATTTTATATTACGGAGTACGAACCTTTAAAATTTTATGGATTATGAGTTACAAAAATTTATGGATAAGAATTTGAAATTTTCAAGAGATACTATATTATGATACCACTTAGTTCATCTCTGTTTTAAATTTAACAATTAAAATTAAAATTTTATATTTAAATTAAAATATTTTAAAATATTTTTAAAATAAATTATCTATTTAATCTTGTTTATGACTCAATATTTTAGACTCTCAAAATGTAAAATAAACCGGGCCTAAATCATTAAAAAATCATACTTTCTACACAAACTAACCATGTTTTGTCGAGGATGAGTATGAGTTAGATTGGGTTGAATATATGATCATTCACCTTTACTGTAGGATGTGAGGGTAGTTTCCAACGAACAACTGTCTCTGAGATTGTGGCTTGAAGACGAGCATTTATTTTGGAGTAGTTTGCGCATTGAGCTCGAATAGAGGTAAATAACTACTCGTTCCTAGTTAATTTAACCTTGCATTGGCACTCACAAGTCCATACGGTTTTCAACACCTCTCACGGGTAGTTTAATAGTTTTCTCAAGATTCTAATATGATTAAAAAATAATATTTATGTTAGATTTTAAATATATATATACTTACCGAGTGATTTTAGTCATGACGGATTTAAAAATATTCTAAAGCGTTTGCTCACATATATTAATCATTAAAATTTTTTGTATAAGATAAGCACAAATATAATTTCAGGGTCGAAACCAATAGTAAAATGGACAACTAATGTAAATAAATTTGAATTTCAAGGTAGACATGTGTCCACCCTAATCATGCTTTGCATGTGCCATTGATCTTAATGATGAAAAAAATATTATTCTCTCTAAAAAATCTAAATTCGAGCAATTGTGTTCATAAAATGTGTGCGATGCCAAAAGAAAATTGAATAATTTCAAACACACGTACACACAAAGATGTTTAAACTCGAGTCGATTGTGGTGTATAATTTTATATTACGGAGTACGAACCTTTAAAATTTTATGGATTATGAAGTTACAAAAATTTTATGGATAAGAATTTGAAATTTTCAAGAGATACTATTGTTATGATACCACTTAGTTCATCTCTGTTTTAAATTTAACAATTAAAATTAAAATTTTTATATTTAAATTAAAAATATTTTTAAAATATTTTTAAAATAAATTATCTATTTAATCTTGTTTATGACTCAATATTTTAGACTCTCAAAATGTAAAATAAACCGGGCCTAAATCATTAAAAAATCATAATACTTTCTACACAAACTAACCATGTTTTTGTCGAGGGATGAGTATGAGTTAGATTGGGTTGAATATATGATCAGTCCGATCTAACTTAAAAATTATATCATCAATCTAATTTAAATCTGATTAAAATTATATTTTTTATTTGATTCGATCCGTCATTTTGAGATAAATTCAAACTCGACTTCATCTGAATTAATATATTTATAAAAAAATATTACTTTTATTTAATAAAAAGTAGGGATTTAATATATATATATATATAGATATTAGTCTTATTGCAATTAGCACTAAATATATAATATAAAATTACATTATTTTAGATCGAGTCAGATCAAATATTTTTATCATATACTCAAATTTGACCCGAAAGTGATCTCTAAAAAATCCGATACACCCAACTCAAACCTAATTTTTTTTTAAAAAGATCCGACATAATAAGATTGAATCGAAACTTATCGAGTTCTGGTCTCAATCTATCCCTACTCTTGTCCCTTACTACTCTTAACTTCAACTCACGGCGTTAATAGCCTAGCGGAATCTTCGAACAACCAGGAATAATTTTTTTAAAATTTTATTATAATATTTTTTTTATTATTTTAATTTTGTGGCTGCCGGGTGAGGTGGTGCTTACTGCTTAGCACAACTGCGCCACAAAGCTAACAATGGTTAGTTAAGAAAACCCTGGTTAGTTTACTATGGTTAACACTAGCAGGGTCGCCCGACCCGAATCCCTTCAACTAGTCTTCTGTAGGACAATTTCGTAATTATTGGCTGACTTCTGAATCAAAAAGGGTAATTGTACTTTCCCCACTTTATTAAACTTTGTCGTTCGGTATTTTGCAATTTTTGGGGTAAATTACACTAATAATCACTGGAATTTAATATCTCTCCTATTTTACTCACTGTACTTTAAATCTGTTTAATTTTCTCACTAAATTTAACACAATTAGTATTTTTGTTCGCTCAACCGTTTTTCACTAAACGACGTTATAATGAGTTTTTATAGATGTCAAACGATTTCGTTTTGGTGAAAATTTTGTTTTTCTAAAACAACATTGTTTTAACGCCTAACGACTGAGTGACCAAAAATGCTAATTGTGTTAAATTTAATGAGGAAATTAAACAGATTTAAAGTATAATTAGTGAAATAGGAGATAGTAAAGTTCAGTGATGATCGGTATAATTTACCCTTTTTAAATTTTAATATTATCTTAAATGTCATGAGAAAGTTCAAGTTTCTAAATTCTGAGTGTGTGCTTTATTTGACATTTTTGAATCTTGTTGGTAATTTGAAAATTTAAAATTCATTATTTAGGAATTTTGAAAAAATTGTTTATTAGAAAATCTTGAGGACAAATTACTATTTAGCCCTTTAAATTTTGATTTATTTTAAATTTTATTCCCTATTTTTTTATTGTTAATTATTAGGACAATATTATTTAGACCTCTAAATTTTGATTTGTGGTTCCCTACGCCTAATTTTGGGTTTCGGTTTTAATAATTTAGAATCGAATTCGATCAAAATGAGATAAAAAAATATTAATCCAGCCCGAACCACACTACACTTATTAAATTATCATTTTCGGTCTTTGGATAGATCGACTTATAATGTACAACAAGTACATAAGAAAATACATTACGATACACATACAACATCGTCAAAGTTATGGTCTTTAAGAGTTGCCAACTCCGGCTACATTTCTATGCACTGATCCCTTTCTCAAGAGAACCCCAGCGTCCCGAAGGAATGTCGGCACAAGCTTGTGCGGCTGCGTCGGCCATCTGAATTTCGGCATTGCAGATGTTCGCAAAGGAACGCATGTGTTTCAGCCCGTACTGCGACAGTGATCTGCAGTGCGTCTTGAAGGTTCTCACCTGTGTCGACGAAAAGAAAGTCTTTGTAAACAGCAAGACCTTTAAGAAAAACAATGGGAGATTAGGCTGGGAATCAAGGCTATTACCGTTTTCTTAAGTCATTTCCAGTCATCAACAAGAGGTTGACCGGCTGGTCGAACGGTGTTTAGAACTTCCGAGCCCCTTTCGATCCCGAATAAAAGCGGGCCAATCAGTTTAACACTGTTGTCTATATGCATCCTATGAGACATAGCTTCCATAAACTGCTTCCGGGCTTCGACCTTCCTAGCCGAGCCATCGGGTGCTTTGGGATACTGCACTTCGAATATAATTCGAGTGAGACAAATGTATGGAACAATGTGTTTCACATCTTTACCTTAATTCACAGTAAAAGCATCATATAGGGTTTAAGAGACAGAGATACGGACCTTATCCCAGAAATGAACAAGATCCCATTTTTTCCCAGAAATGAAACAAAGTTGTTCATGTAAAATAGAGATTCTTACGGGTTCGTATTGCCGGTGCAAGGTCTCGGTCCGCAGATTATGTGTGTCACTGCTCAAACGTCTTGTCACATGCATACAAGATAAATACATTCAAACTTATCATAAGCAAAATACATCGGTGATCGACCATTAATGATAGTCTAATGAGCAAGAGCTTGAACAATTAAGCCAATAACATATAGAGATGGATCGCTCCAACTTCCCAAAGCATCATACGTAGAGGAGGAAAACTTGAAAAATATTCAAAGTGAACAAATGAAAAACGAATACTCCTTTAACGTAGTTTTGTCTGAAACAAATGTCCGAGAACCAACAAGATGCCATATGCAAACAAAGGAACCAAACATAAAAAAAACAAGCAACCATGAAATCCCGAAGAACCATAGATCAAGAAGAAAACCAATTGTAGAAACCTGGACCTAGAGTACAAAAAAACCCGGTAGCCATGATACCCTTTATTAAAAGAATGATCAAGAGAAAATATTATTTTAAATACGTTAAAATATACATGAAAATTAAGAAAATCTAAAACCAATAAAATAAAATTTAGTGGAAAGTGACAGGAGGAGAGACCACCACCGCTGCCATCGATGTGGTGACCGCTCAATAATTTGTAACTGCATCAGAAAAAAGATTTAAATAGGTTTTTTTAGTACACAAAGGTAGAAAAAATCTAAGCTAGTTTATTATATTTCTTCTTCGATCGTTTATCAATAGGTTTTCTATTTCTGTCGGAGGGTATTTAAAGTTGTGGAGTTCGAATGGGAGGTTTCATACCATCTTTGACAATCTGTCGATAACTCCGTTTCGTTCTCTCGAAATATAGCCAAAATGTAATTGTCACTTTGTGTTATTTTATATGTGAATTATTTTAAATTCTTTTGATTTTAGATTTGTGTAAATTTTTATTCATATAATTTTTCGGTACTCATTTTAATTTTGAGTAATCTTAAAATTTAAATAAAGTTAAGTTTAAATTAGATTTAAAGTATATAATGTTATCCTTTGAGATCGTATGTTTAAATATCGCGTGCATTAAAAGTACGAGCATTCTTTGTTAAATGATTGAGCTTTGAACAAATATTATGTTGTATTCACCCTAGATTTATAAAAAAAATTATTGAGTTTATACGATCAAAATTAATTTATCAATTTAAATAATTACTTGACTTATATTACTTTTAAAAATATTTTATTTTTAATATTTTAATATTATGTTAAAATGTCCCTTTTAAATAAAAAATTAATAGTTAATACGAGAATTTTTTTCTTCAAAATTTGAAGAGTTAAAGTGATTATAAAATAATATTTATTTAAGATTTTTTTAAATATTGATAACGCACACTTTCTACGAGTGTAACTGCTTGAATTTAATACTACTAATAATAACAATATTCTTTTTAATCACTCGTATATGAATTTAGTGCATAAAGTTAATTTGATATAACTATATAAGATATACTATTATGACATCATATCACGTCAAAAAGTTTAATAAATATAATTAAATTAAATTTGTTTCTTCAATAAAACAATGACACATATTATTATTTGAGAAAATCGCCTAAGTGACCAAAAATACCTTATAATATACGATTTTAACCAATTTTTTTTGGATTTGCCAAAATGACAAATAAAATCGCAACGCGATATCAAAATCGCAACGCGATTTAGAAAATCGCAACGTTAAAAAGAAAATCGCAACGGTCAAAAGAAAATCGCAACGCGAGCTTCCAAGTTCGCAACGCGATTTAGAAGAAAATCGCAATGCGATTGATTGAATCGCAATGCGATTGAGAGAGTCGCAACGCGATTTAGAAGAGAGTCGCAACGCGATTTAGAAGAGAATCGCAACGCGATTTAGAAGAGAATCGCAATGCGACTGAGAGAATCGCAATGCGACTGAGAGAATCGCAATGCGATTGAGAGAATCGCAACGCGATCTAGAAAATCGCAACGTTAAAAAGAAAATCGCAACGATCAAAAGAATAGTTAAAAAAATTTTGTTTCTTAAGAATTTTCTCTAAAAAGATAGTATCCGCGCGGACGTGTCGAAGACACGTATTACCACGACCACGACCACGACCACGACCACGACCACGACCACGACCACGACCCGACCCGACCCGAGACGAGACGGCGGCGGCGGCGGCGCGCGAGAGTCCCCCTTGTCCTCTTTCACTCAACAAGGAAGTGCAAAATACAAGCCTTAAATACCATTCCCAATAGTATTTCCAATACTATGTGGGATTGAGCATTACCAACACTTGTTCCAAATATCATTATTCTTCATAAGTTATCATCCATTACAATATGAATTAGTCGTGTTAATGAACCAATATACCTCATTAATATATGGTATTGTTGAACAAAAGAATGATGATGATGATCTTATTAAAGACCATCTAATACGAAAGAATCCAATGCATAACCGATACCTTATTGTGAAACTAATTCACATAGAGGTTGTACGTGAAAAAAAAATCTTTTACTTTTATAGTAAATATCTATCTCAATAATTTTAATATAAAAAATATATTTTTTATTTAATAATAGAATTATTTCATGTATTTATCAAGTCCGCGCGGATACTATCTTTTTAGAGAAAATTCTTAAGAAACAAAATTTTTTTAACTATTCTTTTGACCGTTGCGATTTTCTTTTTAACGTTGCGATTTTCTAAATCGTGTTGCGATTCTCTCAATCGCATTGCGATTCTCTCAGTCGCATTGCGATTCTCTCAGTCGCATTGCGAATCTCTCAGTCGCATTGCGATTCTCTTCTAAATCGCATTGCGATTCTCTTCTAAATCGCGTTGCGACTCTCTCAATCGCGTTGCGATTCAATCAATCGCATTGCGATTTTCTTCTAAATCGCGTTGCGAACTTGGAAGCTCGCGTTGCGATTTTCTTTTGACCGTTGCGATTTTCTTTTTAACGTTGCGATTTTCTAAATCGCGTTGCGATTTTGATATCGCGTTGCGATTTTATTGGTCATTTTGGCAAATCCAAAAAAAATTAGTTAAAATCGTATATTATAAGGTATTTTTGGTCACTGAGGCGATTTTCTCTTATTATTTTATTAGATGATAAAATATAAAAATTATAATTCTTAATCAACTAAAGAGTTATTAACATGACCCACTTATGAAATATTTAATCAATAAAAAATATTTTTTATAAATAATTAAATAATAATATAATTTAATGATTAATTTATAAAAAAAAGTAATATGGGGGATTTACATAAGGGGCCCTCATTTATTTATTTTTTATTGATAGAAAAGATTTGTTAGGTATAGCTCTAAATGGTCATTTATGACTATAATAGTAGGAAACAAGTGGCATCATCTATATTTTATTGACAGGGATTGTTATATTTAAAAAAAAAAACATAAAGGGCAAAATACACAAACGATCTCGATTATAAAATATTATTTCATTAAATCTCTTAGCTATTAAAAGTTACAAAATGATCCTTTCACTATAGTGTTACTTTATTAAATCTCTCAACTATTAAAAAAATATAAAATGATCATTTGACTCTTTATTTTGTTTCAGACTCTTCATTTTCTATTAAAAGATTGATGTATTCTAAACTGAACATTAATATGTTGATTGTGATATGATAAAATTTGATCTTAAAATTTCAAACAATTATCAAGTCACAATCATCATTCTAATGTCTACTTCAGATAACCGTCAATTTTTAATAGAAAACAACGACTTTAGAACATAATAAATAGTTAGGTGATCATTTTGTAATTTTTAATAGTCGATGGACTATTTATGTACTTTACCAAAGTTCAATCATTCAATTTTTATTATAAAGCATAATTTTGTAATTTTTAATAGTCGAGAAACTTAATAAAACAATACCCTATAATCAGGGACGATTTATGTACTTTACCAAAGTTCAATTGAAGGCCCACTTGAACTTCATGGGCTTTTATTTTCCCTAAAATAAAAACATCATTCTATAATCAAAGGGTCATTTTATAATCTTTAATAGTCGATAGACTTAATAATGCAATACCCAATAATAAGGGGACCATTTATGTACTCTACCAAAGTTCAATCATTCAATTTTTATAATACTGATTTAAACATAGTTTTAAAAAACCGGATGAAGGCCCACTTGAACTTAATAGGCTTTGTTAAATCCAGATAAATGCCCTATTTCGTAATTTTTTTGAATTAATCACTGGTATCTGATCTATTGACCGATTAATTTAGATTGGATACTGCAGAGGCGAGAGCGTCCCAACCCAGTTTGCTCCATTCGTAAATGTCAGGATTCGAACCCCTGACCTTGCTTAAGGGACATACTGCCTCATCTCACTAGACCAACTGATTGTTGGTATTTCATACCCATTTTAATTCAAAACAGAACATAAACATCCTCACAACAAAAGCATGAGTAGCAGCAGTTCAAGGAAACCCGAAATTTCAAATGATACCCACCTTCTACATGGCATTTCATCGGAGAATTGATTTGATTTATTTATTCGTAAATAGCCCGGAAACAACTCGAGATATATGCTTACTTCGACCACCAATGGACGAACCTTTGAACATTCTCCACGACAAACAGCGGCAGATTACGACGAAAGATTAACTGGAGTTTAATCGGGGGTTGACGCCGGTGGTGATGACGATCACTGCTGGCTGGCCGACGACTATGGAAGGAGAAAGGGGGAGGGAGAAGGGAGACAGGTTGATGTTTAGGTTTCTTTTAATAAAAATATTTTTATTTTTTAATTTCTTTTTAAAAAAATATCAAAATTATCAGAACGTGACAAGTATCACTTAATAGAGATTTTTAACCAGTTAACGTTTAGGCACTTAAAATTATAACTTTGGGAATATCAGACACCTATTTTTTAAAAAATCTTTTAACACTAAAACGTTTTTCGAAGTATAATTTGAACACTTATTTTTATATTAAAAATAAACAATTTTTATAGAAAGTGTCTTCTTATCATGTGAAATAAAAAGATCATAACTTTTGAAATTAAGTTGAAACGATTGGGGAAAAGAATAAGAACTAAAAATATGAATTAAATCATAAAAATT